TATGGATCTTTTTTAAATTTTCTGTTTTACCAGGCCTTTTCTGATACTGCACCACCATGGGAAGGGGGATGCGACCTCACTACTACCTGGTGGTGGTGGAAGTCAAGGTTCCCCCTTCAGCCTTCATTGATACATGGGGGAAGGGGTGCCTCATTACTGCTAAACAGGGGTGAAAGTTCAGGCTCCCCACTAGGCTTCTGCTGATACCACCCTAGCCGAGAGGAGGAGGAGTGTCTCCAATGACACTGCAAGGACAGTGAGTAATGAGTGAGAAGTGGTGAAAGTCCTGACTCTCATTAGTCCTCCTCTGACCCCATTCCAGTGGCGAGGGGAAGGGAGTGTTTTGTTACCACTGGGGGACAGAAGTTCAGGCTCTCTATGTGATCTCCACTGACACTTCAGGAGCAAGGACTCATTACCACCCAGTGGGGAAGAAAGTCCCAGGTCCCTACCTGGTGTTTCTGATGCTACCTCAGCAGTGGGGAAGGTGGAACAGTGCCTGCCTTGTCACAGCTGGATGAAAATAGATGCCTGGGCTTCCTACTTAGACTCTGTTGGTAGGGGTGGGGGCCGCAGTATTTTCAATGATGCTTGGCTGGAGTAGAGTGCTTATTGTCTGTCTTGTTAGGCTGATTCCTTTTCTAGTCTTTTGTCTAGGAAAAAAAAAGGTTTATCTCTGGGCTTTTATCGTCTGTGCCCATTGCACTTTCAGGTTGCCAGCTTCTCCAGCACCCAGTACAGGATGTATGAAGCAAAAAGAAATCCCAGGACATCCCAGTTAATTGGCCTAATAATGTGTTTAGTGTTTCTGTTCTATCTCCTACTTCATTGTGTAGTGCCTGGGGTCATAAAACTTGCAAGCAGTCATCTAAGGCACAGCACTTGGTCTCTATTCACCCGGAGCAATAGAGGAAGGAGAGTCAGGAATAGGAGGAGGATATGGAATGTGTGGCTAATTGCCATGAGAGCAGAACAACTGGATGGTACCCGGCTACTATTACTGAACACTTTGATCAAAGATTCTATAGAAGAATCCTGATCAAAACAGGGAAAATGTAGAACAGAATTTCAAATTCTCATGGACTCCAGACTTTCTGGAGCCAGGGGGCCTGGATGAACCCCTGAAGCTATTGCCCTGAGATAATCTTTAAAACTTAAACCAGAAATATCCCCTGAAGTCCTCTTAAAACCAAACAATAGTTTAGCTTAATGAGTGAAAAATGTCTGCCTTAAGCATTATGCTCTTTTAAGAACTATCTATACGGGATCAAAGTGAAAACAGCAACTTGAAAGATTAGATAGGAACCTTAGGGGGCAGTAAGTTTATTTTAATGGGGGCAGGAACAATTCAAAACAGGAGGGTGAGAATGGTTACAACTTGAAGAATGTAATCAACGTCACAGATTGTACATGTAGAAATGGTTGAATTGGTGTGTTTTGCTGTGTATATTCTCAACAACAACAAAATAAAAAAAAAAAAAAAAAGAAATCCCTAGGAAATTCACCACTATGTTGTTCCTCGGGTCCCAAGGTCCTTAGCTCATCCGTACTCTTCTCTTCACCTTTCAGAGTTCTGTTATGTTTGTTTTACAAATAATGTTCAGGGTTTTTTGCTGTACTTTGCAGAGGAGACACAGGCAAAGTACATCTACTCCATCTTATCTGGAACCAGAAGACCCATTGTGGTTGTGTTTTCAGAAATTCCTTACCTTCTAGAAATAATACTGTTTGGGAATAAAATAATAAAATGTTTGAGACTTTCTTCAAAATAATCCAGGGAAAGGAGATGGCGAGGATATAGATGAAACAAGACTAGCCATGTGTTAATAATTGTTTAGGCTAAGTGGTGGGTACACTGGGGGTTCATTATACTATTCTCTCTACTTTTGTGTAAGTTTGAACATATCTATCATAAAAGGTAAAAAAGAAAAATCACTATCTCTCCTCTGTGGAGGATGGACTTGAGAACAAGATGGAAGTAGGAAGACTTGTGTAATAGTTAAGGTTTTGTGTCAACTTGGTTGGGCCATGATTCTCAGTGGTTTGGCAGTTATGATATAATTTGGCAGTCATATAATGATGGGATCACCTCCATGATAAGATTTGATATAATGTGATCACCTCTGTGATGGGATCTGCTGTGAGCAGCCGATCAGCTGAAGGGGAGTTTCCTTGGAGGTGTAGCCGCATCCAATATAGGTGGACTTTCTGGCAAGGCTTGTGGGCTTTTGCTCGCTCTGGATCCTGCAGTTGGCTCCTGTTCGTCTGACGTCTGGTTCTTGGGACTTGAGCTAGCAGCTTACCTGCCACCTTGTCTGCCGATCTTGGGATTTGTCAGTCTTTGCAACCTGTGAGCCAGAGCCCTGCTGTATGACTTGCCGATTTTGGATTCACCAGCCCCTGCAGCTATATGAATCAAGAGAAGCATCCAGCCTGACTGTCTTAGATTGAATTCTGTCCCTCAAAAATATGTGTATCAATTTGGCTAGGCCATGATTCCCAGTACTGTGTGATTGTCCACCATTTTGTCATCTGATGTGATTTTCCTATGTGCTGTAAATCCTACCTCTATGATGTTAATGAGGTGGGACAGGTGGCAGTTATGTTACTGAGGCAGGACTCAATCTACAAGATTAGATTCTGTCTTGAGCCAATCTCTTTTGAGATATAAAAGAGAGAAGCAAGCAGAGAGACAGGGGGACCTCATACCACCAAGAAAGCAGTGCCGGGAGCAGAGCGCGTCTTGGACTCAGGGTTCCTGCGCAGAGAAGCTCCTAGTCCAGGGGAAGATTGATGACAAGGACCTTCCTCCAGAGCTGACACAGAAAGCCTTCCCCTGGAGCTGATGCCCTGAATTTGGACTTCTAGCCTACTAGACTGTGAGAGAATAAACTTTTGTTTGTTAAAACTATTCACTGGTAGTATTTCTGTTATAATAGCACTAGATGACCAAGACACTGACCCACAGACTTGGGATGTCGTGAGCCATTTCCTTGACATAAATCTCTCTCTATATATATATTTATACACCTTACTGATTTTGCTTTTCTAGAGAACTCAGACTAAGACAACTTGTTAGGAAGCTGTAGCAACAGTCCTGGTGAGAAACAAAGGCCTGGATGCAGAAGTAGTACTAGAGAGGCAGAAGAGAAATTTTTAGAGGTAAAACTGGGAAAACTTGGTGATTAACTGGATATGAGTAGTAGAGGCAGAGGGAAGTGTTAGTGAAGATTACTAGGTTTCTAGCTTGATGAATAGGTAGGTGTTTGTTCCAACAACAGAGATGGGGAATTTAATAGAGTCTAACTCCATTTTTTGATGTTTGACTGCTGACATTTTCCAAGTCTCACTACTCTCTTTCCCTTCAACCCCACATTTGGGCAAGTGTTATATAAGTGAGCCAAAAATGGCCTCTTTGTATTGGCCCCAAATTATTTACTTGTTTATAGCAAGCTGAGGCCCGAAGAAGCCCGCTGGTGCCAAACTCAAATCTGTACATATCCAACTGTTTAAAAATTGCCCAAATCAACAGATTTTTAGCCATTTAGTGCCTGCCTAATTTACATGCCCCACAAAACTGTACCCAACATCTGCTATCCCTAGATAAGATAAAATACTGTAATTGTAAGGACCCTAGGATGCTACTTCCTTCACAGCTCTGTGACTCAGAGATTTCCACCTTGCTGCAGGAAGATATCACTTAGGGACAGGTAAGCTTTTCCCCCTCCCTTCTCTTCTTCTCCAGGGTTTTTATTCCCCCATCCCCTTCTGGTAGCTCCCTGTGCTGCTTGCCTCTGGAAGACCAACCCCTCTATGCAGATGTCAATGTGTTGGCTCTAATAAATAGCTTGTCGTGCAACACTGCTATATCCTGGTCATATCTTTTTCCTTGATCAGCCCTGAATTTCCTTTAACTCATTACAGCAAGCTGATAAGCAAGCCTGGGTGCTCCCTCCTTTAGTGTTGGTGGGAAGTTTAAGCCATACAAGTCCCAGCCTATGCATGAAAACCCATATCCCAGCCTTATCCCCAATCTTATAAAACCCCAAATCCAATCTTCTTTCCCTGCTCTCTCAAGCCAGCTTTGGACCAGCTTTGGACCATGCACCTCTCCCCAGAAAGCCTCATTATGTGAGTAATAAACTTTTCACACCCTCTTGGTATGTGTGTGGCATCATCAGTCTCAACCTCTCAACTCAATTTTTAGGGGGAGGTCCATCCCACATTTGAAGAGTGATCACAACATGAATAAAGGAAGAGGGATAGGGTATTTGTGTGTGGGAGTGTGGGGGGCAAGAGAGAGGACTACAATTTGGATATGTTAAGTTTGAGGTACCTATATATAAAGTACCTAGCAGAGTGCCTGACAAAAAGCAAGCACTCAAAAATGTTATTTTATTTTTCCTATAAGCCTCCCTGTTCTTACTTCTTTTGAGTTAAGAAATTATATCCTTTTATTTGTAGATTTTACTAAATAATGGAGGCTTAATGGGCGGCACAAATGGTGTGTGCTCAGCTACTAACCTAAAGGTTGGTGGTTTGAACCTACCCAGTAGCACCATGGAAGAAAGCCCTGTTGATCTGCTTCTGTAAAGATTATAGCCAAGAAAATCTTATGGAGCAGTTCTATTCTGAAGTACACAGGGTCACCATGAACTGGAATTGACTGGACAGCAACAGGTTTTTTTTTTTTTTTTAATAACAATTATAATACTGATAATAATAATTATCAGTTATTGGTCACCCACTATGTGCCAAGTATTATATTAGGGACTTCATAGATATTATATCTTGTTTAACCCTTACAACAATTCTATGAGGTAGGTATAATCCACATTTTATAGATGAGGACAATTAACACTTTGAAGTTACACAGTGAGTAGGTTACTAAAATGTATTCAAATCCAGATCTGTGAGACTCCAAAGCTGTGTACTATCTACTACGCTATACTTCCTCTCTATATGAACATTAAAGTAGATTTATAATATCCATCACTTACTTCATGGTATACAGCATGTAGAGGGTATCAGCTTGCTCCTGTAAGCTTGAGCTCTCCTTTAACTGTAAAACCAGTGCTTTAAAGTCTACCTCCCCAGATTGGTCTCTAGGAAGATGTATTTCTACACGAACAGAGGGACCCTTTAGTTTGAGAAAGTAAGAAAAGAAATTAAGTCCTTAAGTGCTCAGTTTAAAGCCCTAGAGTGAGTCACCTTTTCACCTCTAAACCTTTTCCATAAGAATTCCCTAAAGTTAATAAAAAGCAAAAGCAAAAATAATTATGCTGTTGCTAGGTGCTATCGAGTCGGTTCTGACTCATAGCGACCTTGTGTATAACAGAACAAAACATTACCCGGTCCTGCACCAAAAGTATTATACCTTCAAAATTTATAATACATCAATCCTAGTTTTTTTAAAGTCTGGCTAGAGAAACGTGCCCACTTTAAAAGCAAACTAAAAAGAATATATAACTTCATCAAGATAACATTTTGCCCTGCACTAATTACTAACATTTCCCATAAGGATAGTAGTTTTGCAAAAAGCTGAGAAAAATACCTTATGTGCAAATTTACCTGGTCCTCCTGTGGAGAATGAGATGAGTGAAGTAAGTTGAGTGAAGGCCGGGAAGCCTGAAATAACTTCGTAGGAAGATACATGTGAACATCTGCAAGAGGTTGACATTTATGAGAAGGTTTAGACAATTGTTAAAATGCACAGTTGATCTCAACAATGACAATTTCCTACTTGAAGCACATGTGGGTCAGTTCCTAATAGAACAAAAATGAGACATTTATCCTTCTTGGTAATATCAAAGAAAAGACATGTGAATACTAGATAATTTAAAGGATGTCCAATTAATTAATTTTGAATTGTATGTCTAGAATTTAGCATCAGCTAGACATAAGGAGGAGGCCTGGTGGTGTAGCAGTTAAGTGCTTGGCTGCTAATCAGAACCCACCAGTGGTTTGAACCTACCAGCTGCCCCACGGGAGATGTGGCAGTCTGCTTCCATAAAGATTACATCCTTGGAAACCCTATGCGGCAGTTCTACCCTGTCTTATAGGGTTGCTATGACTTGGAATAGACTTGACAGCAATGGGTTTGGTTTGGGTTTAGACATACAAGATATTAAATGCTACTAATGGAGCCCTGGTGGCACAGTGGTTAAGAGCTCAGCTGCTAACCAAAAGGTTGGCAGTTCAAATCTACCGCTCCTTGGAAACCCTATGGGGCAGTTCTACTCTGTCCTATAGGGTCACTATGAGTCAGAATAGGCTCAATGGCAATGGGTTTGGTTTGGTAATATAATCAATACCACAATGGTGCTGTCAGTGATACTTTATAGAATATTACATATAACAGAAAGAGTCCAGTTATGTTTTATATTTTCTGGACTTTCCTAGGAGACTATCTGGCTGCTAGCAGATGGATTTCTCTTGACAAAAGTTGAACGGATGACACTATCTAGGGAATCAAATAATGTAGTGGCTGACCAACTAAGATATTCCTAAGATTTTTACTTACAGTCCATTATTGAAATACTTACCATGACCTCTAAGAAGAGACTCTCTAGTCATTTTCACCATTTTACAGATACAGAAAGAGAGACACAGAGCTCAAATAACTGTTCAAGCAAGTAAGTAGCAGAGCTCGGAATTAAGTTCAAGTTTTCTGATTCACAATCGCCAAGTATAATTTAGTGAAGTTCATCGTTTCACATAAGCCCTTTCTCAAGGGAGCATACTCAAAGGGTATTCTAAACTTTTCCTTCTTCTAAATGTTAAATTATTTCCCAATGCACATGTTTAATATCTTTGGTTAGTAATGGTCAATAAAGTTTTAGGTAGCAAGAACATGCATCTCACTCATTCTCATTATCTGCAAAACGTTAACATTCAAGTCCTCTAGGTGTGGCCAAGGAGCCCTTCTCTCCCTTCACAGGTTACTACCATAAAGGCATTGAACACTCATAGGAAACATGACTACTCCTGGCAATGTGTAGTAGAAGACATCCTGCACTTCAAACACTACTGAAGGAAGGTAGTGGTCATGGGGAGGAGAATGACAAAGTTGTTGAAGAACGAGTACCGTATTTGAAAAACACAGATGTACATTCCTGGAACAGCTGACTGTAAAAGTTATAGTTGGCCTCAGGAAATAAGATGTAGCTTACTTAAGGGATACTATCTCCCTTAAACTGCATGGTTATTTTGCAATAGTTTTGCAATGTTTTCTCTTTAAATAAAATTACTTTCAAAAGAGCAATTTTTCTGTAGGAAAAAACCCTTTCCACCATTTTAATACATTGATGTTAAAACTGAATGTGCTCCATGTCTCTTGTTCTACCTCTTCTCACCATGTTACTGGCTAAACCAGATTAAATAGCACTATTCACAGCAAATTATACCCAATTCATTAATTTTACAAATATTTATTGAGTGTCTAATAGGTTCTAGGTGTTGTCCCAGATGCTGGGGATAAGGCAGTGAACAAAACAAAGTTCCTGCTAACACTGCAATTAATGCTCCACCCTCATCCTGGTCTTCATGTTATCCTGTGCCGGACTCCAGTGAGTCATGGTATTACTCACTCTGTACATGCAGCTCCTTGGCCTTGGTCACCAAGGACATTAAGTCGAGGGTTGTTTGCACAGCAGCTTGGAACCGATCTAGCCCTCTCTTCTGTGAGGTAGGGGGTAGTTTAGGATGGGGAGCAGTGTGTGCCAAAAGGTGATCTAAATAACGAGCAACTTCATCACCACAGCGAGCTGCAAGGTTAGCGGGGAGGAGGGGAAAAAGAAAAAAAATTAACATTTTAGTACTTTATTATTTACCCCAGCAAACAGAATGACTGGCTCCTGTGCCCACACTACGCCACCAGAAGAAGGCTGTCTGAAGCTCATGGTTCTACAGTCTCATAGCTTTCAGATTCAGAAATTATGGCCATCTACCAGGAACTACCTGTTCTTCAACTTTGCTGAGACAATGTTAGGGCCCCTCAAAGCAATATGAGCTTATTATAGGACAGGTAGAGCAAGCATTTCACAACACGTGTATGTGTGTGCTTGTGCGTGTGTGTGTGTATGTGATGGTAATGGCAGTGGCAGTGGTGGTGATGAACGAGGCAGAGAACAGGGCCCCTCAAGTTACACTAATATGAGAAGATTTTTGTGGGGAAGGGCTGGGGAAGGGCAAAAATCTTCCACCTAACATTGAGCCTAGTTAAAAACAGATTGCACAAATGTCAGCTTCAGTTATAAATGAAAGAACAATCTTCATGTTAGCATGGTGTACAAAGGACTACTGGCCACGTACTGGTCTTTTTAGTTACTTCACTTGTTCATTCACTGACTATTTATTGCCTACTATGTACCAGGTATTGTACTAGGTGCTCAGGTTTCAGTGGTGAGGAAGATATATTCCCTATCCTCTTAAGAGACTCTTAAGACAAAGAATTTGACTGCCTCAAGATACGGGCTAATGGTCAAATACCAAGACAGTGAATACAGGTAAACCTTGTTTTAGATAGCTAGAAGAATAATTCTCTAATTGGCCCTTCTCTCTTTGGGATTCAAAGAATTTAATGCTTGTCCTGCCTAGGTCAATATTTTAACATTTTATGGCAATATTTCTCAGCCATTTTTAACCCATGCCCCCAGAATGTTTTCTCACTATATCATCTTCATATTCCTTGCAGCATATAAGATTGTTTTTCTTTACTTTGTCTAGTTTGTAATATGAAAACAATTTGTTGTTGCTGTTGTTGTTACCTGCTGTTGAGTTGGCCCCCAACTCATGGCGACCCCATGCACAACAAGATTGGATCATTGTGATCCATAAGGTTTTCACGGACTGATTTTTGGAAATAGATTGCCAGGCCTTTCTTTGTAGTCTTAGTCTGGAAGCACCACTGAAACCTGTCCAGTATCACAGCAACACACAAACTTCCACTGAGAGACAAGTGGTGGCAATGCTTGAGGTGCACTGGCTGGGAATCAAATCCGGGTTTTCTGCACAGAAAGTGAAAATTCTGCTACTGAACCACCACTGTCCTCTATGAAAACAACAGGCGTCCTGAATATGTTTTTTCAAACTATCCCAAGAGATTCTGATATGCTCCTCTAATATTATATAAAAAACTTTTCAATTAAATTTTATATTTTTATGCTTTTTTAATGTTAAAAAGCAGTATTGGATAATTTTGCTACTACATACTTGATTCCTGATTAAATCTCTCTCACTCACCAGTGCTTCCTTCCATTTCAGAATTATAGCCATTTTATATATCCAGGAAAGGAATCTTCCCTAACCTTACCGAGGCATAGTCTAACCCCATAACTCCACTATCACCACAGGGATATTAGACCAGAAACCAAAGTTAAGTTGAGGGGTGAAAAGTAGAGCCAAACAAAAGTAGAAATCTGGGTATATTAGGTAGGAGTGAGGATGGTACACTGTGAGCCTGCTGGCAGCATAAAATTTTAAGTAGGATGCTAACAATAGTTTGTATCCTTGTCCAGGAAGGCCAGTGCCTTCATAAAGCCTCCTTACCATTACTAGTTGAATCAAAGCCATCCATCCAGTTGCCAGATTCCAGCTCACTGTAGCTGTCATCATAATCATCACTGTACAGCTTACCCTCAGGCCCAGGGTCCATGAAACTCAAGTGTGTGCAGCAAGAAGTTGTCAAGAACTCTGACAATTTACCTGTTTGAACTCTGACAATTAAGGGGTAGATAGAAAACAAAATCAGGTGAAATCCTTTTTAAAGCAACACAATAGTAGTGATAAAAGGATACTTAGAATGTTTTGTTGGGGGATTGCTAATGTTTATACATCAATGAAATTTTACAGCACTCCTAGGCATTCTGTACAACATAAATAGTTAGGGTACTGTGTTATTTAAGGGCTACAATTATGGGTTCAGAATCTGCCATCAGATCAGTTTTGCTCTCTTCCACTACCATTATACTATTTTTCTAACTAGGCCAAACATATGGTAAAAAACTTTGCACTGGCTACAAGAGAAACCAGAAGAGAATGAAGATAAATCATCACAAGAACATTGTGAAAATAAAAGATGGTAATTGAAAATTTTATCAATGATAGTAGATTGTAAGCCATATCCTCCCCTACTTATAAAACCAATTACAAAATCTGAAAGTAAAGTCAGTAGTATTGACTTTCTAAACAAGTCAGCCTGAAGAGGTTCCCATAACCAAATCTTACATAATTTGAACACTGAAACAAATAATGATAGATATGGATCATGATACACTGAATAAAATAAGAGTCCATGAATCCATGCTGATATTAAATCTATGAAATAAAAGGGCAGAAGGGAAAGCTCTTTTTTTACAGAAGGATTCCAACTAATAAATGTGCCCAGAATGACAGAAACACAAAATCACCATTTTACAATACCATTAGTAATAACTGATTCATTCAAGAATTATCAACAGAAGCTAACCCCATTTGGTAAAAGACTTTTGGGGAAAGGATACGGAGAAACCTGACAGATACAACTTTACCCAAGTGTTCAAGGTTAACATCACCAATAAGGAGGCAAATAGATATAATGTGCCTCCTGATATAACGTACTGAGAAGGACACATCACATAGGTAGTATTCCTGCCTAAAACATATAGCCTGAACTTAATCATGAGGCAATAACCAGGTAAACTCAAACTGAGGGACATTCTGCAAAATAATTGACCCACATTCTTCAAAACTGTAATGAAAACTGTCATGAAAGATTAACAAAAGGCAGGGGAACTGTTCTATAAGAACACCAAAAAGTTATGACAACTAAATGCCAATGCATGATCTTTGACTAAATTCTGGATTGGGGGGAAAAAAACTATGAAAAACATTATTGGGACAACTGAGTAATTTTGAATATGGACTCTATATTAGATAATAGTATCTTATCTATATTAAATTTCCTGAGTGTGATGATTATACTGTGGTTATATATGTGAATGCCCTTGTTCTTAGAAGAAAGAAACTGAAGTAATTTAGGGTTAAAGAGTCATAATGTCTACAACCAACTCTCATGGTTCAGCAAAAAGTATGTGTGTATGTGTACATATTATATATAGTGTATATGTATGTGTGTGAGTGCATATGTATGTGTGAGAGGGAGGGAAACAGAAAGGAAAAAGGGAGGAAAGGAGAGAGAGAACACAAAAATGGAACAAAATGTTACAGGCGAATCTTGAGGAAAGGTCTGTGGGTGCTCATTACTACTGCTGCAAATTTCTGTAAGCTTGACATTTTCAAAAAGAAACAAGTTAGGGAAAAAAGAAAAGCAGCCAGAATAGAATATTCTGGTATTCTTTTTTTTTTTTTTTTAAGATTAAGTTTTCTGGTCCACTGAATTTATAAGGTCTAGGCAAAGAGTAATCAGCCATTGAAAATCCTATGGAGCACAGTTCTACTCTGACACACAAGTTGGAATCAACTCAATGGCAACTGGTTTACTGGTTAGGCAAAAAAAAAGAAAAAAAAGCTGGAAAAAAATTCCAATCCTTCTCTATAACAATTCCTTGATCAAACCTGTCAAAGACTGGCTCCTCTGAGTAGGATGGGATTATGTTGTTGAAAGATACACAAAAAGGCATCACAAGTCAGGCATTACCATACCCAGCCCAAATTTCATTCTATTTGACTAAAGAGGGTATAGCAGTCACTTACCTTGCCCCACCAAAATAGCCATCCTGCATTTTTCGGAGTGCTGCCAGGATAGTTGAATTCAAGCTGGTTCCATCTTCATCTTGAAATGAAGAGAATTTTAAAAGTATCTTTGTGGTTTAAACTTTGAAGTAGGAAGAATCTTTCAACAATAAATCAAACCAACATGCTAGTGGTGATAGTACCAATGAGTCACACTCCTCATTGACCACCCTGTATTTCAACAATTCATCTGAGAGTCAGCTATACTGCAGAATGGGCAAACAGTGAGGAATGATGACCACAGACAGTTTACTCAAAGACATGATTTTATTTATCATAATATTCCCAGTACTCAGCACAGTGCCTGATGGTAGAACACTTAATGACTAGTGAATGCAGATAATAACAACAGCAACTATTTGTTGAATGTATGTGTTAAGCACTGTGCTAAACATTTTATATGCATTTTCTCATCTAATGAGCCTTGGTGTGTGTGTAGGCATAAAAATATATGGAAGGCTAGCAACTATCCTATTTTACATGAAGGGGGTCATACTACACATACTCTTTTATGATCCATTTTTTACAGTTTTCACTATATCATGAGCTATTTTCCATGCCAGTACATATAGCTCTAGCTTATCATTTGTAATAGCTAAAAATGATTCCATGGCAGACAGGCTGTTTTTTATATTACAAGCAACACTGTAATGAAGATCACTGTACCTACATCTTTACACACTAGCTCTATTGTTGCCTTAGGATAAATTCCTACAAGTAGAATTGCTAGGACAAAGGGAACACTTACTGAAAAATTTTATAGATTGTTAAATTGCCTAGTAAAAAAGTTTTGCCAATTACATGTCCACCAACAATATAGAAAGTGACTAATTCCCCAAACCTCTAACAACACTGGGCATTAATGATCTTTTTAATCTTTGTTAATATGATTGGTAAAAAAAAATGGCACTTTTAATTTTATTACTAATAAGATTAAGCATGTTTTCATGTACCTACAGGCCATTTATATTTCTTTTATCAACTGCCTGTTCTTTTTCTTTTCCCCTTTTTTCCACTAGATTATCTTATTTTCAGCTGACTTTCAAGAGCTCTTTTTCGCTGTCTTGTTGTTGTTAGGTTCCATGGAGTCGGTTCTGACTCATAGAGACCCTATAGGACAGAGTAGAACTGCCCCCATAGGGTTTCCAAGAAGCAGCTGGTGGATTTGAACTGTTGACCTTTTGGTTAGCAGCCGACCTCTTAACCACTACACCACCAGGGCTCCGTTTACTGTAATATGTATGGCAAATACTTTTCCTAGTTTATCATTTGTCTTTCAATTGAATCCATGGTACCTTTTTCTATAACAGATATAAATTTTTGTTTTTAAATCTGCCACTGTTTTTTCCTTTTGTATCTTGCAAAGGACAGCTTTCTCTGGCCCAAGATCATAAAAACATTCTCCCATATTTCTTGATACTTTTATAGGCTTCTTTTTATGTTTAGTTCTTTAACCATTTAGAATTTATTTTTACACAAGACGTAAAGTAGGAGGTCTAAATGAATTATTTTCCCAAATGGATTTTATTTACTAGTCTATTCTTTCCCCTCTATCTGAAATGCCATCGTTATCATTATTCTAATTACTATGGATTTAAGTCCTCAGTTTTCTTTTTCAAAAAATTTGGTTATTCTTGTACATTTTCTCTTCCATATGAAATTTAGATTCAGCTTGTTCATAAAGCTTTATATTTGTATTTTGGTTTCACATTGCATTGGATTGACAGGTTAATTTAATGAGAATGGACATCCTATCAATATTAACTATTTCCACTTAGGAATATGATATGTCTCTCTAGTAATTAAAATCTTTTCCATCCATCCTTATTTTTTTCTTGTATAGTTTATGTACATATCTAATTAAGTTTATTATATTATTTACTTTTCTAGAAAATTCCTCAATTTTAACTAGATTTTAAAAATTATACTTGATATCCTTTTATAATTTTTAAAGTCTCCTCTATTTCTGTTGCTATATTCCCATTTCTCATTGCTAGTGTTGTTTTTATATCATCTCTATTTTTTTCTTGGTAACATCTGCCAGACTTTTGTCTATTGTATTGGTCATTTCAAAGATTGAGTTCTTGGTTTTATTTATCAGCTCTATAATTCCTGATGCTTTTTCCGCTTCATTAATTTCTGTTTTTATATATACTAATGGCTTCCTCCTTTTTTTGGCTTAATTGCTGTTCTTTTTCTAGCTTCTTGAGCAGAAAACTTCAATTAGCTACTTTTAAACTTTTTTTCTTCATATTTTAGTTAAAAAAATGAAACAGTACAGTTAAAGTTGATGACCCTTTGTTCCCCTTTCCATTTCTCTCCTCAACAACATATATCATTAGGGAATTACAAATTAAAACGATTAGTTACCACTACATACATATTAGGATGACTAAAATCCAAAACACTGGAAGGTGGAGCCAACATGGCACTATAGACAGAAGCACCATGCTGTCCCTCTGCAGCAAAGACCCGAAAAACTAAGTAAAACAGATGTAAATATCAATCCTGGAACCTTAAGCATCAAATGAAGGAATAAAGAACTCAATCAAGCACTGAATGGAATAAGAAACTGACAGAGAACAGAGAATGAGGAAAACTACGGAGTGGAGGTCCCCTATCAGCTAACGTGGCAGGAATTCGCCATCTTGGACTATAGCCATCAAGGAATGCAGACAGGGAGTATGGGAAGGTAACTTCACAGAGCTCCCAACAGGAGACGGAGCACCCGATAACCAGGGATACACGTTTTCCCACCCCCAACTCTTCTTCCCTGTACGAGGCCTCCACTGCTTTCCAATGGGCCACAGTTGCTTGGCCGGAGAGACACCAGCTCATTGCCACCCGGATTCGCCATCTTGGACTTCAGCCACCAAGGACTGTGGACAGGGAGTACAGGAAAGCAAATTCAAGGAGCTCCCAACAGGAGACAGAGCACCTGGTAACCAGGGATACACGCTTTCCCACCCCCTACCCTTCTTCCCTCTACGCGGCGTCTGCAGCTTTCCGACGGGCCATGGTTGCTTGGTTGGAGAGACGCAAGCTCACTGCTGCTTGGGTCTGCCCCACCCCCACTGGCTAACCCCTTCAGTGCCATTTTTATTTTTTTGTTTTTGTTTGGCTTTTTTTGTTGCTTCTCTCTTTCCTTTCCTTCCTTTCCTTTCTCTCACCCAGCCAGCCCTGTGTGCTGTCCCCACCCTTCTCGACAGGCCTTGCTGCACCGCTTGCAGACCCCTGGTCTGCACTTCCCCTACCAACTGGATCGCTCAGCGCCATATTTTTTGGTTTGTTTGCTTTGTTCTTTTTTGTTGTTGTTGCTGTTTTTCTCCTGTTTCTTCTCTCTCTCTCCTTTCCTTCCTTTGTTTTCTCCCACTTACCTAACCCTGTGTACCACCCCTACCCTTTCTTGAGGGGCCGCGCTGTACCACTTGGCTGGAGAGTCATTGGCGCGTGGCCTCCCCAGGTCTGTGCCACCATCACCAACTGCCTCCCACAGCACCATTTTATTTATTTTTTTGTTCCTTTGTTTTTGTTTTTGGTTTCTTTTTCTTTCTTTTTTGTTGTTGTTTCTTCTCTCTCTCTCCCTTCCTTCCTTTCCTTTTTCCCATCCACCTACCCCATGTGTGGCCCCCCTTCCTGTTGGACTGTGATATACTGCTTGGCTGGAGAGCCTCTGGCACAGGGCCTCACGGGTCTGCGCTGCCCCCACAGGTCAGCTCCCTCAGTGCCATATTTTTTATTTTTCTTTATCTTTCCCCTTCTCCCTTTTCCTTCTACCTCCCATCTAGGACCTGCACTGCCTCTGCCCCTCCTTAACAGGCCATGCTGTGCCACCCAGCGAGAGAGACATCAGTTTGCTATCATCCCATTTCTGCCCCACCCCCAAAGGCTAGCTCCCCCCCCACCGTATTTATTTATTTTTCGTTGTTGTTGTTTTAATTTTTTTCTGCTTTGTTGGTTTCCTTTCTCTTTCCCTTCTTTCCTTTCCTTCTCCCACCCACCTAGCCTCATGCGCTGCCCACGCCCCTTCTCGACAGGCCGAGCAGCACCACTCAGCTAGAGAGCCACAGGCACATGGCCTCACTGGGTCTTCGCCCACCGCCACCTGCTGAATCCTACCGCACCACCATTTTATTTACTTGTTTTTCCTTCATTTTTTTGCTGTTGATTCACACTTCTTTCTCTTCTTTCACTCACATACATAGCTCCACACATCACATCCTCTCTCTTCCCTCCTATCTGCACTGTGTGCTGAGCACTGCGCCCCGAGAGGCACTGAAGCAGTAGCCCGAACACCGCCCTGCATAGCTTCCCGGCTCCACCTCATTAGCCCCAGTTCATGTCGCAAACTACTCGTCCCTGCCCTCCCACTCTTGCTAGACATGCCCTGCTGCACCCACCACAGCTGAGTGACTGGACCTGCCTACCTGAACGAGGTGGGGAGAAGTATCATAACCAAGGCGAGTAACCAACAAAACATGCCTAGCCTGCCTGCCCAGATATAACAAAATAAAACAAAAAAGTAGGATGAAACAAACAAATCTACAATCAATAAACACAGAAAATAATTCTGAATGTCCAAGAGACAGCAGACAATATTAAAACATATTTAAAAAACAGGCCAGGATGGCTCCAGAAAGAAACCAAAATGAAACACCAGATGACCTTCTGGTAGAATAAAAGGCACTGGAACTACCTGATACAGAATAAAAACTCTAAAATTCAGGGTTCTCCAAGAGATGAAGGAAAATGTAGACAAAAATCAATGAAAAAATACACAAAATTAGGGAAAATACAGACAAATCAATGGAAGAATTCAGGAAAATAATACAGGACCAAAATGTAAAAACAAAAAACCAGAAATCGTACAAAAAGAACCATTAGAACTTCAAAAGATAAACAACAAGATTTCAGAAATGGTGCAATAGAAGGTTTTAGGAGCAAATTTGGAACAACAGAAGACAGAATCAACGAAATTAAAGACAAAGTCTTGGATACCACTTTGAGGAAAAATCAGAGAAAAGAATGAAGAAAACTGAA